CGTGTCGGGAACACCAGATCGCTCTATGCTTGTTCTCAAATGCATAAGGTCATGCAACTTCGAAATTTTCCAATCAGAGGTTTGATATTTTCCCATCTTCGTTTTTATATTAGTTATGAAATCACCTATCAATGTGTCACAAACATCGAGAGAGGACGCTGTGTGGGTTGACTTACGAAACACGTGCATGTACATTTCCATGAGTTTGATGAAACAAGCGGAAATGGATTTGCCTGTCGCACGTGGGATGATATCACAAATAATAAACACGCAAACTGTCATAACAGACCGATTTTGCTTCGCTTCAAATCGTCCTTCCCTTGAAAAGATATCACAACCTGTGGCTACGGGCAACACAAGCTGCGGGTATATCCGTTTGGATCTCTCACTGATGCTCTGCAACCTCGCATCCATCTCGTGCAATATCTCGCTTTGCGCGGTACATGGCAACTTCTTATAAGCAGCTGCCTTGAATGCATCTATCATATGCAAAAAAAATGCCGTGTTCAATGGTGTGCATACGGTCTGGTTGCAAAGCGAGATGGTAATCTAGTTCAGGATCGTCACCATGCGGACCCCTGTAGAATCCCCATAGGCCGTTCTCTTGAACATGCTTATGCATGTCCAATTCTGACATTCATGCCTCAGCAGCACGACGAATGTCGTTGTCCCCACTGTTGAAGCAGTCCGCGGCAAGTTGCGTCTCTAGCGTCTGCAATCTCCTGCAGTTGGTGAAATCGGCGATGACATCCAAATCGTCTTTGGACACTGTGCATGTTGGACAAACACCGAATTTCACAGTTGCAAGGGCACACCTTTCAGGATAGTCATGTATATAGTTCATGACGAAAGGGTGCACTGTTATCTCATCGAACCGCTCCGTTGTTACCATCATGCCGTCATGGGATGCCTCCTTTGCGGACTGCAATACTGTTGAGAACGCTTTATGCAATATTACAGTTTTTCGTTTTCTAAACGCGGTGGAGTGCGGACCCCAGCCCTTGTCACGTGGCCGGTGTTGAAGCACTGGAAGATACTCAAGCAGTGTGGCATCTGATGGGCGATGGGCGATTGATATCATCAGAGGATATGTTGTCTACTTTTGACGACCGTCTACATGAGTCTTGTCTGAATACAGAGACAGAGGGATGACATAACGTGTTCTACCATTCGTGTCCACACCCTTGTCCGCTCTGATAACAGTTTGGACATGGTGACTCAACTGCCCCGTGCGAGAGTCGCAAATTTCGATGTCCTCCCAGGGATGTTGTATTTCGAGGCAAGACACCGTTTCAACGTTGTTCAGTGCAACACGCACGAGGTCAGCGAACGTTGTGCGCCAGTCGCGGTACCACAGAATGACATGCGCTTCTTCGGACCAATCATCACTGCGTAGATTCTTCTCTTGCCACCCTGCAGCTTCAGCCTGGCGGCTTGCCCATGTCAGACACTCACGACTGTTACGAAATGCGATATCTCTGGGGTCAAATCTAGGATTTTTGAGGAGTGACAACAGACAGTCAACGTCAGTTTGGTACATGTCCACACCGCCCTACACGAGAAAATCAATGCCGCTAGTTTGCGGGAGCTGTCGAATGCCTCTGCGTGTTCTTCTTGCTGTTCTTCGGATGCACAGTCCGCTTGTACATCAGGAGGGGGCTCAACCTCCTGACTTTCCCCACTGACCAGGTCAATGGGACCACTATTCGACGGTCCGCCGTTGACCTCCCCAACTATCTCTTCTGTCATGCTCCTCTCTTCCACAGTGGAGGGACATGCCCGCGCTCGGTGCGAGTTCATCGTCCGCAATGACATGAAAGGCCGGTCACAGTCACACACGTGATTCGCGTCTTCCATTGCATCTACGTGCAAGGTCTTACGAGTTACTGTCAGTTAAGACCTACCGCCGATAGAGGATGCGTATTTGGTCCCAAATTCATGCATTCCTTTCACACTCCCCCCTCCCCCGTTTCCCCTCTACCTCCCGTCGACTCAACACCGCTGCTGTGCACTGCTCACAGATTCGAAGACAACGACAACATTCAAACTGAAATTAAAATCAGAAATTGTGGTGAATGTTTTGCCTTTT